ACTAGTAACATAGTGCTACATACTTATAACAATCACGTTTATTACGGAATTGGTCAAATTAATCATCAATGGAGAAAATTCACTAGAGATTTAATTATTGATCTACAAAAGGGTTTATATCTAAATGATAAAAATAAAAAGAAAATGTCTCGTTCGAAATTAAAGGTAATATATAACAAATATAAGAAATGTTTGAAAAATACTGATGGAAAGGAATTAAAAGATGAATAATAAGAATAAAATATTTTATAGATTGTTAAAATAACTTTGTATGGATCTGGAATGATTGATAATATAACATTATCTACAAGTGAACATATGGAGCAATTCTATGATTCAGCTAGATGGTTTGTTAGTAATCAGAACATTAGTTCTGGTGGTTGGGCAAATCCTGTTAGGAGAAAAGTAGCTCCTGGAATGGCTACTCTTGAGCCTGGATGGTATTATACTTTAACAGTTTATTAAATCGTTACTAAATCATAAGTACATTTATTTAAATGTATATATTTCTGTATAACAACCATAGGTATTCTAGTATGGGTCAAGGACATGCAATTTCCGTATTAGCACGAGCATATTATCATTCTGGGGAGGAAAAGTATTTACAAGCTGCTGTTAGAGGTTTGCAACCTTTTAAATTATCCTCTAGTAAAGGAGGAGTAGCTGCAGTATTTCTAAATAAATATGTGTGGTATGAAGAATACCCTACAACACCTCCATTATTTATACTTAATGGATTTATTTATTCTTTAATTGGTTTGTACGACCTAAAAAGCATAGCAACGGGTAAAGACGCGGAAGAAGCATCTCGCCTCTTTAATCAGGGTATGACGTCCTTAAAAAGCATGTTAACATTATATGATACAGGTTCTGGTACTACATATGATTTACGTCATTTTACATTAAAAACTGCTCCAAATTTAGCTAGATGGGATTATCATTCTACTCATGTTAATCAACTTCTTCTTCTCAATTCAATTGATAGCGATCCGATTTTTACTACTACAGCAGAACGATGGATAGGTTACATGAATGGTAAGAGAGCTGCACACAATTAATTTTAACGATTAATTTTGATTAATCACGTAAGTTTTGAATTTATCTAATTTTTATTTATTAATATTTAATATCTCATTTTTTCTACTCCATTCTGTATCATACATTTTGTAAATAATTTCAAACAGTCACAGAATAAAGTGGACCAAAATATATTTATCTTTTTGTGCAATTATTACACAAAAATAGTAACAACCAAATTTTTAACATTTGTTCTTAATCACTCGCCGATACTTACGAAACGTTAGTACATAAATAAACAGAAAGCATGATAGTGAAGGATATATATGTAATTATACTTATACTTAGTAATTAAGCAATTTTCAAGCGATATTTTTAAAAAAGCCATCCTTAAATAGAACCTTTAAGAGACTTAATTAGTAGTTAATTTATGTAAATGTTTTAAATGTAAATTCTGTACTTACAGAATTAAATATATTTAATTCATTTTATAAAATATGAATTTTTTAATTCGAATTTTACATGTGTTCTATTATGTTACAATACTAAATTAAATACCTTTTTATTATTTAATTGTTTTATTTCTAATACATATATGTATTAACATAATTTCGTATCTTCAATAAAAATAGGTTTAACGACATAAGATATTATTTTATGTAGGAGTAAAATAAGTATTAACATTATCTATATGTTATATTTCTTTTAGATAAAATTTTGTCAGAATCTTTATTTATAGTATCACTATAATGAGCAAAATATAATTATTTTAGTTATCTTTTTACACCTACATAAAAAATTTATTATATTAAATATAATTTAATGTAATAATTTAAAACCTTTCTAATTATTTCTAAGTATAATTTAATGAAGGATGTAACTTATCACATCTTCAATGTACTTGAGATTTTATACAATATTACATGTTGGTACTACTGATAGCTAAATTCGTAGTATACTATACGTATAGTTTACACTATTTTTTTCAGTATGTATATAAAAATTGATATTGTATAATGTATAAATAATTATGACGATATTTTTGTAAGTATTTATAATATGTTACTGTTTAATGTACAATTAAAATGTTATTTAAATATATCACATTAAAGAGTGTAAGTTTTTTTTTTATAAAATATAAGAATAACATTCAAGCCATGTAAATGTATTATAATTATATTATGTTATTAATTATCTCTGTGATTTAATTACTAATATCACTAATATTACATGTAACGCATGAACTGTCAAAAATAATTTTATTATTCTTATATAGAACGTATTTTATATAGAAGAAATATTAATATAAATTATCAGCTTTATGAAATTATTATTAAATATATCATTCTATTCTTTTTTTTTACAAACAATAAGAATAAATATAACATACATTTTAAAGTACATAAAATTTCATTTTGTAACAATTTTGATTTTTAGTACCATTTCAGGTTAAATTAAATAAATTTTATAAATAATAATAAGATAATGAGTGGTGGAGTGGTACCTAGTAAATCAACAGTTTACATTTCGAATTTACCTTTTTCATTAACAAATAATGACATACATCAACTTTTACAGAGTTATGGGAAAATTATAAAGTAAGTTGTAAAATTTAAATATCTAATTTTTGCATTATTTATGTGATGAAAACTATATTATTTACTTCTTTCTTTATGTATTCTATAAATCATTTAAAATTATTTAAAAACTGAAAAACTAAAAACATTGTTATACATTTAAAATCAAGATATTATTTTAATGATACAAGAGTGTTTAATAATAAGATATAAACATAAAAATTGATATAATTAATATATAATTGGTAACATTATTTTTGTAATATATAATGATAATTTTGTAATGAGATTAAAATTTTTATGATTTTTACAGCATAAATAATTTGAAATATGATATTTCTATTTGCATAGAGTGACAGTAATGAAAGACAAAATTACAAGAAAAAGTCGTGGAGTTGCATTTGTATTATTTCTTGCTCCAGAAGATGCTGTTGCTTGTGCCAAAAACTTAAATAATACTGAGGTGAACTACTGCTTACTTCATATAATAATATTTATTACATCTAATATTTTGTAAATTATTTTTTAACAGATAGGTGGTCGAACAGTAAAGAGTTCCATAGCAGTAGATAATGGACGAAGCACTGAATTTATTCGTCGTAGAGACTACCCAGATAAATCTCAATGTTATGAATGCGGGGAAGAAGGTCACTTATCATATAACTGTAGAAACAATACACTAGGACCAAGAAATCCACCATTAAAGAAGAATCGAATTAGAAAAAAAAATAAATCTAACAATCATACCAACAATTTTAGTAAAAACAGTGATGATGAATCAGCAGAGGATAATTGGGATGATGAAGTAGAAACACTAAGTGCTGCTATTGCGATGGAGGTAATGTATTTTTATATATTATTCACAATGTGACTAAAATTTAATCAGTATCTGCATATACTAATCTATGTTTTACAAATTTATTAACATTTTATAAAATTTCATATTTTAGCAAAGACAAAAAGAATTAGAAAATAATCAGAGATTAGCAAGTAAGGGATATGAAGAAGAAAGTCAACCAGTCCAAAAATCTGGCAAAAGATATAAAAAGAATGAATATTTTAGTGATGAAGAAGATTTTAGCGAATAAGTAAATGTAATAAAAGAACATAAATAAGAATAATATTAAAAAAGTATAATATAATAAAATTTAAAAAAATATTTAATATTAAGTTCCTAAAGTATTACCTTGCATATAAACTTGTAAACTGATATTTCATTTATTTTATGTGTATAAATTGTAATTAGTTTATAATACATCTATAATACTATAATTTAAATTTCATTTTATTTAACAGTATCTAAACCTAAAAAGAGTAGTACTATTTTAGCCAAGTTTTAAATAGATTAAAATTATGTCAATAGAAACGTGAGTACATAATAATGTATGTACATCATTGTCCATTATGTCTATATTATGTTTTGAGATTTTTAGTAACTTAACCTTATAAACTTCGTTTGAAAGTTATTAAAAGAAATTTTAATATAACCACCTTTTTTTAAATAGATATATTGCTTAAAAAGTAACACGTTTAAAAATAGTAAAAATTAAGTATTATTGAAGAATAATGAGGATATACTCCAATATTATATTTTAACAAAGAATTGAAAGATAGGAAGAGCCAGTATAAATAATTGTAAAACATAACCTTAAAGTATAAAAAGTTAACGTAATTTTAAATATTATATACTATGTCGGGTTTGGATTTATTAAGTATTTATGCTTCTGATTCTGAAGATGATGAAATTGACGATAACAGTAAACCTAATGAAAATTCTAAACGGTATTTATCTTCTTCCTTTTAATAATTATGTTCCGTAACTTCTAATAAGTATATAAATATACTGTGATTTTATTTATAGTTTAAAACGATATAATTTATTTACATGGAATATATATATTGGAAATATTTAATAAATTTTAATTTTCAATTTTTAATTATAATTATATTTAATAATCAATATAGAATTATTACGTGCGTATTTATAATATAATGTTGATACATATAAAAATAAATATGTGTGCAATGAATTGTATTTTCTTTTCTCACACGTATATTTTTATATAAAATTTACTCGTATTATTCTATTTAAACTTTACAAATTTTCATTCAGAATAAACAAAGAAAATATATTTAATAAACTTTATTAAAAATAGATATAAAATATATTTCATCATTTTTGTTTTCTATATTAATTGTATAAAACATTTTTAAATAATATTTATTTTGTAGATTACCTTTACCTGAGAGCATTGTAGCATGGAAAGGAGTTCCTCATCATGAAGAAGTATATGATGATCCATTACAACATGAGGGAAGAGTAAGAAGTTTTAAACATGAACGTGGTAACTGGGCTACTTTACTTTATATTAATTGTTAGTATTTAAGAAAATAAATAAATATTATTGTTTAAGCTAGAAAAATAAAACCATTGCAACAACTTTAAATTTTAGATGAACCTTGTGAAGTTATGCTTTCATGGATGCTTTTAGTCATGGAAGAAATGCCAGTTAAATGTAATATATTTTCTGAGCAATGTCATATTAGTATAACAAAAACTTTAATTTTAAAGTTTCATTGGATTGAATCCTTTGTAGAAGAAATTAAGAAATTATGTGAGCAGACAGATCAATTTACATTAGAGCTTCTAAATGTACGGGCATACATTAATGAGGAAAAGACCCGTACATTTTTTGGGATAGAGTGTGATGACTGTAAAGGAGTTCTCAGTCATCTTGTGAAAAATATTAACAATTTTCTTGCTGAATATAATTTACCATCTTTTTATGAAGTAAGTAATATTTGTTATATGAAAGTGTAGTTACTTATTTTTAATAAAAATTTTGTTATTTATTATTTTGTTACATAATAATTATAAATGATTTTTTATGTTTAGGATTGTTCCTATCATATAAGCTTTTTATGGTGTCTTGGAAATGAATTTGAAGTTCTAAATAGTCATACACATTCTTTGACTGCTAAATTAAATCAATTTTTGGTTGAGCATGCAGAAGCAAGATACATACATGTCACTAAAATACATCTTAAAATTGGAAATAAATTGTATGCATTTAAACTAAGGTAACAAAGAATATCTCTAGTTATAAGTTAAATGTAAAATAAGTTTATTATATTTATTGTGTAAAAAAAGTGTACAAATAAAATATTTGTATATAAATATTTATGTTATTATTCAAACCATCTTCTATATAATAACAAAAGTTATGCTCTAAGAAAATAATAAATTTTATATAACTTCAGCTTTTTCTACTTTTCTATTTTTATTTTGTTATGTTTTCAATTATTTAAATTTATGATTTGTGAAAACACTTATATTTATATTTATCTAATAAATTATTCGTGGAACTTATTTTTTGAACATATTATAGCTATTTTATAGTTTAAAAAATGTTAATGTTTAATATATTTTTTCTGTTTACTTATAATGTTTCTAATAATCTTTTTAATGTTTCTAATGTTCCAAATTTTGTTAATATTTTTATAAAAAATTGAATTCAAATGATTTTTAATTTAATAGGAATATAAAAGTAAATGAATATGGTTATACAATAACAATATATTTTGTTACCAGTATACAAAGGCGAGTATCGTATATAAATGTGTGTAAAATATTCCATATATCCACGATCAACGTGGCGTACAGAAATTACGTTAACACTCGTCAGACTTCTAAATCGTATAAAAAACGCAATATTTCTGTAAACAAATTATTTACAATTGTTTAGTATTTTTATACAGACATTTTATGTAATTGTGCATCTTTACAAAAGAAAGCGTCACTTATTGTATATACAGTATTATATGCTCGTCTAACGAGTATCGATCAGCTCATAAAATATATTAAGTACACAACAAGGAATGTATTAAAAAGTCTTCGGATTGTATATGTTCAAAATATAATAGCATGTACAACATACTTTTTTAATTATGTATTGCACCCAGTTATTTTTTTTCCTTTTTCTTTTTTTTATTTTTTTATTTATTTTTTTTTTAATGAACTGCATTTATTACTACTAAAAATGTAAATTCAATATGGGTGTCTTAAAACAGTACATTATAATTATTTCACGGTTTTCTTTCTTAACAACAAGGCTTACCTTGTTACAAAATAAAATTTTCTTCTCGCTATGAAATTCCGTTCGATCCAGTAGTTGATTTCTCTGGTAAACACTTCATGATTGTTGGTTCTATCAACTTCCATACTTCAGCGAGCTATAGTGCATTTTAAATGTTATTTATTTAAAATATTGATACAAAATTATTTCAACGATTTTCACCTCAATATATATGTAAAAAATAATAACAAAAATATTTTATCCTTTTTGTGATTGATGAATTGCACTTACCAAATTCTCATCTGTTTGTCGATAACATCAAACACGATGGAAATTATTACGATATTTAAAATATATTGCGAATAATGGAAGAATCTCACCTCAGAATGACCACGAATTTGCACGTTGACAAGACTCTGTAGAACTGTAGCAAGTATTTCTAAATGGGCGTGAACGAGCTGTGTCTCCATGTGCAAACAGTGCAACGAAAAGCAATTTCGTAACTCGACGTTTGCAATCACCGACTCCTGAGCCACCATTTTATTTTCAAGATATTCAACTGTATCACTCTGTAAATAAAAACGAATTTGATGGAATAAAACAGCCGATAAAAACATTTTACTTCGAATAATTTATAATCTGTTAAAGGGCAAATAATATATATATAATTATAACAATAATTTGAATACAAAAAATAAAAATATTTTTTATATTTAACGCAATATTATATTTTCTCTATATCATACACTAATAAATCTAGTGTTTTGTACTGTACTATTGCTGTTATTAAAATATTAACTTGTTTTAAAGGTATATGTAATAACATGTTATAAGCATTTTGCGTACAACTTGAATTTGATATCAATATAAAAAAGTAAAGGAATATATCGAAATATGACAGCTGCACGTATTAGCCTGTTTTCAATTGGAACGAATTATGTAAGACGATACAAGCTTGAGATTATATATTATCACATTTTTCCTCCGACATTAACATAAAAGACCTTGAGCAATTTCCGAATAATCACGTAATAACCTGCGCACACGGTAACAATGAATCGAGTTAAGTCACCGGATAAATATACCTTTCTTAAGGCTGTAAATCATCGTTTGCTGCTCCACCGTCTTGAAGGATCTACTTACGTCAGTTCCGCGTATCACTCCTTGCATTTGCCGCTTCTTTAAGGATAACATAGTAGACAATGCACGTTGATGATCGGCGCTGACACCACGTTCGTGCCTCTCACACAGGATTCTATGCGCCACTAGAACGTCTAAGAGAAGATTCAGCCTTTCACATATCATCGTTTCCTCTCGGACTGCTTGTTGAAGAGCTCTTGTTGAAAGTAGATTGAATTCTCTGAAATTACGAACGTATATAAGGAACCTCGTAAAAAAGGAAAAGTATTTTCTATGAAGTAATTACTTCGAAATTATGTGGAATCCTTTCTTCATCTCTTGCCAAATAGTGGAACCACCAGTGGCCCAAGCAGTGGTGCCATGCGGTTCCGAAGCTAAATTGCTTAACTGAGTACCTAATTCCGCCATATCTACCGCATAACTGTGCGATCTGATTGCTAAACAATCGGCAATATTCTTTAATCGGGAAATTCCGAGGAGTATCACTCTGATCTGGTCGCGACTGTTCGCGAACTCGGTCAATGTTTCCGGAGGCACCAATTCCTTTGCCCTCGACGACAATTCTGACGTTGCAAACTCGTCAGGTACTCGCCTGAACACCTCACGAATTTTGTGCTGTGTTTCTTCGCCAGTGTAAGTAAAGAAGAATTGCACGATGTGATCTTTGCTCACTACAGGATGACGAGCAATTACGGTAAGAAATCTTAATAAGGATCGTCTTCTTTCTTCCAGAAATTGAGAGTCAGCTGTAAATGTATATATTATGGTTAGTAATTCAAATTATGTTATTATAATATTACTTTTTGCAATAGTCTAGAGAGTAAATTTATAATCATGAAAATATAATTAAAACACTATTTTTATTATATTTTAACACAGTTTTGTTCATTTAGCTATCGAAATTAATAACAATTCTTAGTATCTATGATGGTAACAAGTATGTAACATTCAGTAAGTGAAGAATAAAAGATATTGAACACGAATTTTGTAAAATTATAAATATCTGTTACAGCATGTTAAAAGAAAATAAATGATCAATGAATCAATATTTTACCTCCCACAATCTTCTTCGGTGGTAATTTCGGTATCAACCTATAAGGAAATCTTGCCAAGAGAAGCTCGTGCAACGACACAAAATCGTTATAACGTCTATAAACGACGGAATTGAATCTCTGAAAATAGAAACTGTTTTTAGTAATCATTTCATAACTACAGCTTATATTTAATAAAAAAAAAAAGGAAAAATAAACATTTTACTTAGAGAAATTTTTGTAAAATACAAAAATAATAATATTTCAAATTTATGCCGAGCAAATAGGGGTGCAAGAAAAATACCTTGCTGGTTACTTGATACTCCACGTGCTTCAAAAAAATTCCTTTTTTCTCTGGCACCAGGTTCACCTCTATCATGTCCAAATTGCATATATCCGAATAAGTGAGATTCAACTTGGCTGGATTGCTCCCTTTGTGCAACCTCTGAGCCAATAGTGTTACCTCGGAGAGATCGCCCAGAACAGGAACAGGTAATTCTATGGAAAAAAAGACCAACATTAAAAAAAGAAACAAATTTTAAAACCGCTCAATGGAACCAAATAAACCAGTCTTAACAAGCCTATAATTTACAAGACTCTGTAAAATCAGCGAGGAGATACTTAATAACACAGCGTTATCTTATTTTTCTTTTTATTGGTTTATTTATTCGCTTCACCTTACAAGAGATGTGTAAGGACAAAGTTGCCCGATAAAATCTATAGCGTGATTAGATCGCGTGTAGCTAATTCGCGAAGCCACAAGTAACTTCTTTCAGCATTGTTGTTTCCCCGTCGTGAAAGATAATCATCGTCGTAGCCGCAACGTCCATACTGGAAAAGGCTTACCTGACCTACGATACTTTGTTGCGTGTACGTGATAATACCTGAGACGGTACTCGTTCTGGCTACCTTTTTACCGATTTCACTTCTTGTTACGTTAATTAGCAAAATACAACGTGAAACGGTCGTAAAAAGGAAACAGCGAACTTTGATTTTTAAACTATCACTGAACGATGATAAAATTACAGTACATTTTATTTACAGATTTTTAAAAACTTCTAGTTTTCTCATGGCAACAAATAATCATAAAGAAAAAATATATTTTTTGTAACAATATGAAATCAAAGAGAAAGTTTGTTTTATATTTAAAATATAAATTTGTGGAAAGAAAACTAAAAATCAATAGTTAATGAAAGTTAATAAGAGTTAAGTATGTTTGTAATGATAATGATATATCATAAATTCTTAATAAGAGTTAATAATGTTAATGAAAGCGACTATCAAAAAAAATAAATCACGACTTCGGAAAATAAGAATGATTATTAGATAATATTAAATAATATTGTCTTAAAGTATTATAAATATTATATAATAATAAAAGTGGCACTTCAAAATTTGGAATATAAATTATACTATTATATTATACTATTATACTATTATAATTTAAAAATTTGAGAAATTATAATAGTAAATTATAATATATAAAAAATAATTTGAAAAATTATAATTTAACGTTCTAGGATAATGAGAAGTAATCAAAGGTAACCAGTTATTTCACGCAACCTATTTCAACACAAAATGTATATACGAGTTCATCATCAATTTCATCAATGTCGGCAGAAATTCAATTCACATTCCGTACTCGTACATTTCATTTCAATAGATAGTCGATAATAACTGTTCGGAGTTTAAATGCCGTTAAAAAATAAGAGCAATAGATATGCGGTGAATAAGTGACGTAAATGAAACATAGACAACACTTATGAATTATGTAGCAAGCTACCCAGTACAAATTGTACGATAATGGTACAGTTTTAATCATGATTAATGATAACACTGTTGAGTCCGTAACTCGAGCAGATAATGCGAATTCATCTGCACGAAGATTACAAATAATCTCTTTGAAATTACACGAAAATCATTTTACAACTACTTATTAGATAAACGAAACACTTTCATCCGTAATTAAACAGTAAATGATCTCTAATGAATTATTCAGAAGAAGAGTAAAATAACATCAATTATACAGTTTGTAATTAATTCCTTTTTTCCTTCTTTCTATGAACAGACGTTATTTTATATCTTTCACGAATTGATTTCTTTCGGTTTAATTAATTTTTATTGTAGGTGACCGTGTGCACGGAGTCACGACGAGTGAAATCGTTGGAAGAACGGTGCACTTCCGGTGAATCGCCTTTAACCATGATAAACCAACGTCTTTTTTACGATAAGAAGAACAAGGGATGATTGTGTTGGTCAGTGACACTATTAAAATCCGGATCTCCTTAGATGAATGTTAGTTGTGTTGTGTTTCTAGATTATCAGAGCCTCTTACGTGATAACGAGCCAATTACAGTGATACTTTTAGTTGAGTATACTCCGTTATCTGTCGAGTACGTGGTAACCGGAAGTGTGTTTACTCTCCATTAAAATTTGTCGTCGACGCGACACCGTGATACCATTTCTGATTATCTTTGATCACTCCTCTTTTCTTTCTTTTTTTTTTCATTTTTTAGTAGGAAACTTGGGATCTTTGGGATGGTAATCTAAAATTTAAACGAAGAAATATTTAGTATTAATTAGTACTAATTGTGGAAGGATCATAGAATTTCAGAATATGTTGATAATTGTTGAAGTAAGCAAGATAATTTTAGAATACTAACCATTATTTTTCTTACGTATATTTAATTCACGTGTAGAAATAATTAGAAGATTTAAAAGAATATTCACACAAATAATAAAGCATTTAATTTAAGGATTAATTGTTTCTAATAGAAAAATTTGTATATTTTCAAACACGAAAATATGTTACTTTACATACTTGTGAAAACTTGGAAATTCATAACCAAATCATTGTACATATATCCTTTTGTACATTTATCCATTGTACATGTTTCCTTTATTTATCATGATTTGGGGAGGAAATATGTATTGTTTTACCAAATTTAATTTCATTTTACTTTTATCAAATTTCATAATTGTTCTGAATTTTTTGTTTTAATGAATAAAACGTGCAACAAACCTTGAGATTCAGAGTTTTCCAGGAGTTTGTCGCTTGGGTGCTTTCCTTGCTGGGCAAACGCGACTAGAGCAAGGCCCTTGTATAATCCGCTCCTGGTTAGATAACCCGTCTTGCTGTCCACCAATTCCCATATCTATTTGCAGGAAAAAAAAGAAAAAGAAACAATATTCATAAACCTGTCCTTTCTTCCATTTCAGAAATATTTCAGAAATTACCGAAAGTTACAAGTTACCAATAATAATAAATCCTTGCATAACACTAACAAATTTGATAATAAAACAATTAACGATTCTACATGTAAATTTTACAAATCACAAATTAGCTGATTCTAAATGATGAATCATTAAAATAAATACCTCAAATAAAAACAGTCAATAAAAACTTACTAATCACTGGTTAATAACCTCAAATCATAACGGAAATTACTAGTTTTCTAGAACATGAGTATTCTAAAGCTTGTCAAAATTTTATAAACAAATTTCTGTAACTCAGCACTTTATACTTCGAGCAAAAAATATTTGTAAAGTACGCTAATAATATTACCATACTAATGTTTTATATGTTTTATACGTAATGCATGTCTGCAACCTAAAACTTGTAACTTATCAATGCACTGATATTATTAATTATTAAATTATCGTGTAAGGCGATATAGGCAATAAATCATTATCCACGAGATTACACGTAAGAGTGCCATTAAAATTATATTTTACATACATGAAAATAATTACAGTTATTTAATTATACCTCGTAAATTCTCGAAAATGAGGAACTTTGACTATCTTATAATGCGTCATGCATAGTCTAACCTCTTAGTAGCATCATTTTTCATGGAAATTTTCATAACGGATTCAGCATTTTTATCGTAATTAAAAGAGAGCGTAGCTTCGCATGATGAATTATTTACAAACCTCCCCTTTATTCGGTAATCGTTCTGTTGTTCTCACACAAGAAAGTTCCACATCGACAATTTCGTTCACCGTTAATGCAATTCTCACGACAGCGACGCCTTTCCATCACGAAACTCAATCAAGGTTGAATTTAATAGCAACGAATCTTTCACTGGTACTAGTGTCATCCTTTGCATTCCTATCTTCCAATTATGCATATTTTTATTTTCTTTTTTCTCTTAGTATATAATTCCTAAGCGTTAAATAAAGACATTTTATAATTGTTTACACGTTGGATTCCTTTAAAATTTGACAATTTTAAAAGCACTTTAATGAATAGTGAAGATATTCTTTTTAATAACTTATTCTTGTTAGCTATTAGCTTCACAATTTTTATGAAGAATAGGTAATACTCTATGGATATATGGTAGTATTTTTAGTAGATTTATTTGATTTAATTTTTATTTATATATTATATATTCATAATTTTTAATTTTAGTCTTTATATAACATATTTAAATGTTTTAATACGAACTAGAAATTTTTTTCAGAATATGATCAAAATTTGAACTAAAATTTGTAATTTTAAACTTAAAAAGAATTGCTTCTTTTAAGTAACATTTGAGAAAAATGTTAAAAAGTTTTCAATAAAAACCTTTTACGTTCCGGCATTGCGTTTCTCAATTTAAAATAACACGATAAACACGATTTGAAATAACGAAAGGCACGCCTAGTAGAAAATAACATGGTTGCGCAAAAGGTGCGCGGGAAAATTGTGGAACAGGTTCGCATGGAAAACCATGAGAAAGATGAAGGATATTAGCTTTATGCCTTGGTATACGCTCGACATTTTCATCGTTACCAAGCAGATAAAAGTTCAGGGCAGTATAAAATAATTCTACCTTTTACTGCTTATTATCTAAATCCAACAATACTTGGAAAAATATCACGAAACACCACCTATTGTATTAACAGATGCCTTTGTATGAGAGATACACACACACACACACACACACAGAGAGAGAGAGAGAGAGAGAGAGAGAGAGAGAGAGAGAGAGAGAGAGAGAGAGAGAGAGAGAGAGAAGGAGAGATAGGGATTTTAATATCCTGACACTCAAGAATGTTTTCAAGTACATATTACAATAGAGAACGACAAGGAGATTGTATGTTTCTTGTTAAAATTCACGATTTTTATACATTTATTTGTGTTCTTATCTACATTTGTTTTATTTGTAACTTTATTGTAGATTAAGCTAAAACAACCACTGGACATTAACAAGCTTTATATAAATTATCAAATAATCCAAACGTAGAACTAGTAAATCTAGCAAGTCTTCATCTGACAAGTATGGCAACAATCCCTCTGTATCAGATTTCAACGTAAAAGCTAAACGATCTCTATTATCGCCATTTTCATATGGTTATGAGCTATGAGATTAATCGAATCTAGACAAGATACCAATAAATCTTCCTTATAACTTCTCACAACTTCTAAATCTAACACGTTCTATTTCATCACCATGCCTTCGCGTACGTCATGCGTATAGGTTAATTAAAATCAAGCGGTCTGTTTACACGAAAGGTAGGGGGCCTGATTTAATCTGAAAACGGCTTAATGCGACGTAATCCGCATGATACACTCGACTAACGGTGCAACCTCGGTTAACACCGAGAACGAGTCCGAAGGATTAGGCCATAAATGAAAGTAACTGCATTCCGAGAATTTTTATACCTTGCTCTGCCATTCTACCTCTCCTTCTTTCATTCCCATTGCCTCTCTGTTCTTCCCAGATCTGGCAGAGTACACGGGGACCGCACGTTACGCGCATCTAGATTCTGCTTCAACACAGGCTACACCTAATCCGCGTCTCTTTGTGATCGAGCGTTTCTATTGGAAATTGTTAACACGCGTTCTCGCGACGAGCGTGAACGAGAGCGACGTGCAAGTTGAGTTCCCTCTCTGGGAAAGATCCATGAATCGAAGCCTGGTGTAAATTGTTTTCAGACGTTGATTCGAAAGTGGTTTATGATAGAAAGAGGAAGCTAGTTATTGTTTTATCCCTCAATTCCTTTTCTTCAATTTTGTCGTTGAGTAGTTTTAAAGAAGTTCTGTGTTCTTTTTTCAATTGGAGGTTACAACGTTGCGTTGACTGCATGGTTATTAACGACTGGAATGATAAGATATGTTTATTTATATTACTCTGTGAATACATTTACGATATAAATGTGAAACTGGAATTTTAGGTTATTTATTGTAATTTTCTTACGACTATTATTGAACAGTATATTTTTAGTACATTTATATTAACATGTATGTATAACATCAAATATATATTACAAAATATATATGTATTTTATACATGAATATATTTTATACAAAATTATGTGCATAAATTATCGTATGTTGAAATAAGAACGATGAAAAGGTTATAAAATTACTTCGCGACGAATACATCAATTTTAATTAATTTAAAACCTATTTAAAACCTAAAAATCATTGAAAATTCTATTAAGAGTATACTTGAACTTAGATCAAGGTAAGCATAATTACGTTTATTTGAAGTATTTCAAATGCTGAAGCGCTTGCTGGAATCGATTTCTTGAGAAGAATACAAATGAATTTCTTGATTTTTCAGTAGTTTATCTCGTATTCGAAATATAAATGGCTCGAGAATATAAATGCTTCTTTACAAAACGAGTTTTAACAACGGAATGTATTCAAACCACAATTTCATGGTGTAGACAGCAGGATGCTATTAAACTCGTTTCCACAAGAACAACAAGCTGTTCTCACGAATCGAACCTATTTACTCGTTTCTCTCCCTTTTTTCCTCGTGAGGATACCGATATTATTATAAGGAATTTCAATCTCAAATGTAGGTACATCACGTTGATGATAACTTAATATTAGTACTGCAGCAACCAGTAAATCTGCCTTTCAACGATATGCTTTATGGTACATGCTTGGTTAGCATATAAGAATGTCGATCATTGATCGATGAGAGAAAATGAATTTCGACGGAAAATTGGATCGCACGATAAAATAGGGTAAAATATTAATAACAATAATTTTTAAAGAAGCAACGAATATATAGAACTTAGTAATAATAAGTGATAAAATTTATTAAAAATTGTTATAGAAAAATAAAGTACAACAAAAATTTGTAAAAATGCAAAAATGATCAGAAACATAGGAATCCTTAGGTTATCACTGAAGAATAGAAATTGCTAAAAGCTAAAACAAACATTAAGAGTATGTTTTGAAAATAATATTACATATATAACTATAAAATAAACAATTATGTAAGTATAAAAATACTATAGCCCATACATTATAAGCTTCAAATAAAATCCTAATAATTAAAATAGATGTGTGTTGGAAAATTCAGTATTTTTCAAGCAAAATGATGTCCACGTTCATTACAATCTATTCTTAAAAATCCTTTTAAATATATAAGCGAAAAAAGCTATTAAATTAAATTCAAGAAGAAACATAATAGATTTATTGATCTCTCAGTTATCAAATTTTCTTTAATGATCTTAGAAAGCTCAAAATAAAAATAAAATTCCGAAAACCAATTTATTCGTATCTAATTCCATAGCTGTTTACTGCTTACTACGGATCTAGTTCCAACTTCTCCGACAGTAAATTAATTTTCCGGTTGACTGATACCCATTCCAATTCCTATTTTCTCAAAACTGATTTTACAACTGGTTGACTTACCGCGTAAAATAAATGAAAGGGTTAGGATAAGTTGGCTGGACGTGAGAACAGAAGCGCGCCAAAAATAAACAAAAGAATGGGAAAAGAGGAAAAGCGCATGCGTTCGAACGTTAAGCATGGGCAAACACAAAAGTGCACAAGAGCCGTGGTGTTCCGGTGTTTGTTCCCGCAGTTCGGGTTCCTTGTTTTCTCATCGGTTTCACGAGCATTATTAAACCTTAATCGTTGATCAAGTTCAGCGGGAGAGGAAACCGCAGTGAAAATAAGTTCCTTGTTCGTGGTACGTGTGAACCTGGTATGCCGAACAATCGCCGCGAAAGCTGAGAGTCTACTCCGTCACGAGAGTTCGTCTTTTCAGTTTCAATAATCCCTCGCACCCCCCACCATTCTCCCCACCCTCACCACTCCTGCTGCATTTGAATCGCGTCAAGGAATTCTCCTCTGAAATACGATTGCTCGTGAACCGGCAATGCGGGTGTTTTTCTATTTGCATCTTCGTCTGACCTTATACAGTCTACG